GGTCTGTGCTGCAAGTCGGCCCGTTCAGTGACCCTGTGCCACTCACTGGGGCCCCTATTAAAAGGACGCTGTCCTCATTGTAATTGGAACTCAGTGTAACCGAAGGAACGCCAGTGGCTGCCACAGCTCCATCTTGCTGCTTTTCATAGGCCTTGCAATAAAAGCTAAAACAGTTTTTAGTGGCTTTTGCAATTATACCTCCCTTCAATTTTCTTAAGGTTACAGGGCCTGAACCACACAAATCCCATTAAAGTAAGTAGTTGTTGTGCAATGTAGGGCCTTTGAAAACATTCTTCCAAGCCCATAAAACGATCAGCGGGCTGCCCTTCAGATCCGCTTGCCTTCCATGTTTCCAACCAAAATGCAGGCGACCAGCTTTGATGTGGCGGTTGGTTTCTGCTACTGAAGCTGGCGTTTTACCTTCTTGCATCAGAATTCTGCCCAAATTGATGTGACTTGGGCACGCAAAACACATTTCTCTTCAGATTTCATTCCTAAAATATGTTTTTGCTGTACCTTGAAATTACACTTGGCGTCTGGATGTGGACTCGCCAAGGCCCCTCCCACAGAGCCGAGAGCAGGGGAGGGCCAGTGTCGGGACTTTAAGGGATGCCTGCAGGCGAGTGCTGTTAGGTTTCTGAGCAGGGGTCACGGCTTGCTGCCCGGTCCTCCATCCACAGGATGGCGCTGTCTTCTCCACCAACGCCGGCGGCCCCAGGTGGAGTCCAGAGGGAGCCAAGGTCAGAGCTAGTGCCCTCTTCCACCAGTAATCGAAGGCACCGTGGCACCTTTCCCAGGCCTCATGCGCATGCTTGCACCCTGGTCCGCTGAAAAGCGTCTCTTTCTCAAGGGCGTTCCTATTTGCTTCGACCCATCCTTGATCGAGAACTGCTTTTCTGGGAAGGAATAAAAATAAAGGACCGATTCCTGCATTTGCAAAGGGATCAGAACCACCACAGTTTCATGCATCTCTAGGTCGGATGACTAATGTATTTGAAAAAAGAAATATGGTAAAAGGTGTCCCCCCTCTCCCCACCAAGGTAAAATTATCCACATACAAAAGATAATGTTAGCCTAATTGTTTGCTATGCATTGTTAAAAAGAATTGACTGGAATTTAGAAATTATTCAGATGAATCACCAAGGTTCTATAGGAATACCTGACTGCACTGAGGTGACAAGACATTTACACGGAAAGAACTGAGCCATAATTTCAACCATGTGTTTGATTCTCTATTAAAATATATACAGAAATGTACAGAATGGAGTTATCAGCAAGTTTTCAGAGCGGAGGTAAGATCTGAAAAGTGTCACGGGAAACAGACTTTGAACTGGGTGCTGAAATTAAAGGAGGCGCCCAAAGGGGCGTGGGGAGAAAGTGGGCTGTGCTGCTGTGCTGGGAAGTCCCCCCACACACTCGGCGGCCGTTGGAAAGGGAAATTCAAGGACATCCAGGTCAAAGTAGCTATTCTAAATGACCGTGGCTACATTTTTTAAATGGCTCTTCTCGTAGGAACGACACCATGTGATACACATGGACTCTCTTTCTTAGACACTTTATATAACTCTGACGGGAAAACCTGTCTTTCCCGTAAAATCTCCCCAGGGTAGCGTTTTCTGTTTACATCCCTGACGCCCCACTGCCCTCTCATGCACGGCATGTACGCTGCCATCTGCTTCTGACAGTGGCAGGGCATTAGGGGGTCCTTCCTCAGCCACGCCTTGTATTGTTATTTGGCCAAATCGCTTTATTCTTCTAGGTCTCATTCACTGCATCCATCAAATAACAGAGTTAAATTTGCCAATTCTTCTGGTTTCATTTGGTGCTAATCTTTTATAATCATGATCCCACCTGGTTAATTAAGGTCACTGTGCTTGTTTTTATTGGAATGCTTGTTGGTAATGTCATACGTAGAATTCCTTGTCATCCATGAAGTCCGTAAGCACCCTGGACTGAGAGCACTGCGATCTTGGTAAAACCGCGTCCATGTCCCCATGCTTACCCTGCAGCTCGGTGAGTCCCGCCCACTTCAGGACCCCAAAGGACGAGACGCTTCCTGATGTCCCGCCGGACGTCAGTATCCTAGAAACGCATGTCCCGAAATCAGCCTTCACTGTAGCCACTTTCACAGAAGAAGATTGCCTTCTGGCAATAACAACAACACACTGCTCTGTCTCCCTTTTATTCAGTCTAGAATCGGATGCGCTTACCACAGGCCTTCCGGTGCCCCCATCCGTGAGCTGCCATAGTGTGTCCGTCTCCCCTCCTGCTGCAGAGACGGTGCCGGGCCTGTGCTTGTGTGTTCACGGGGGAAACTGCAGGCTCACACTCGGTGATTGTGAGCAAAGGCAGACGCGCCGAGGGCTGCCGCTCAAGCCGTAGCTGTTCCGTCCTGCCTCTTTCTGTTACACTCACTCTCTGAAGGACACTGGCCAGACCCAGCCTCCCCAGACCCCTGTCCCTCGTGCATCTCTTCTCGCCTCCAGCATGATCTGGGCTGCTGTTTTCATTGGTTAAAAACAATAAGAGCGTTCACTGGGAAACTCTTGCCATAATGGTCTCAGGTCACAGCTATTTATTCTCTGTCAGAAACCGTAATTCTCCGTTGCCCTGACTCCCACGTCAGGGGAGCCTGTGGGTGGCGGTGGACAGGCAGTGGGACCCGAGTGAACAGTGGGAGATGTCAAAGAACTGCCGAGAGATTCTGTAGCGGGTTGTAGAGCTAAGAACAGAACATGCAATACTCTCGTTCACGGTCACAGTTAGGCAGCCCACAAAGAATTGGGCTTACACAACAGCACAGAGGGTCAAGACTTTGTGGTTAGTCCGGAGAAAGCAAATCATGACATTGACTTAATAAGGGATTTCTTTTATATGATTAAAAACAATAGCCTACTGTCTAACTGTTCTCAGGCTGGGGGAGGTATGGAAGCTAAGGATGTTGTACAGACTTCTGTCTAATGGGAGCATGAAATGGTGCTGTCATTAAGGCCTGGATGACCCAGAGGGGCCTGAAGAACAAGACACACAGAGCTGTAGACAAGAAATTTGGGAAAGAGAATGGAAATACCAGGGATGACTTCAAACATGCAAATAGGTACTCAGAGGTGATGGATCCAGGGGCTTGCCTTCTAGAGATGGTATTGTTATAAACTTCACTAATAACTAAACGGTGGTATAATCAGGGATGCCTTGGCCTGACTGTTCCAGGCCTTGAGAGATCCCAGAAAGCATGATAATCAAATTGGCTCCATTCTCAAGACACCACCGATCTGACCCTGTTATTGAGTGTCACGGTGGTGCCTTTGAAGCTGAGCTCCTGGTGGAGGCACCACAGAGCCAGGCGGGGATGGGCCCCAACCCGCCGTGGAGCTGAGCGAGTGGCCGCTGAGGGCTTCTGAGCTCTCAGATGTGGTTGAGATCACACAGGTTTTTGTTTGTTTTTTGTTTCTACAGAAACAGTGTTTAAAGACAAGAAATGTTACCCATTTTCCCTGAAAACAAATTCAACCAGCACTTACATATCTAGATGCTTTAAGGAATGGGCCATCTCTAGTCCAAGTTCCAAGGGTGTCCTGGTGAGGCAGCCCCTTGGAGGAACAGGTCTGTCATCAAAAAGACCTAGAAGCCTCCGTTGTTGGGCACGGAAAGGCCTGGGCGAGGAGCTCCTCGGTTTCAGCTGCACTAGGAATGCACACCCGGATCTAGAACATGCCCTTGACCTGCAATAAGGATGACGTTAGGGCCCAGGTGGTGTCACTTGTGTTAGGACCTCGTGATTGGTGCTTGTGGAGTGCTTGAGTGTGTCGTGCTCACGGTCAGAGAGGACCAGAAGATGTCCCATTTTGGAAAAGTAGCCGAGAGCTACTTGTTGATGTGGAGCAAATGGCCATCTCTCCTTCCTCTCTCACCCCTCGTATTTCTCTTTGGGCCAATGTCTTCAGGGAAAGAGAGACGCTAGACGTGTACATCCAGGTCACCAGGCTGGGCATATGACTTGGGCCTCAGCAGCTGGTGCTGTAAATCTCTGCCACTCGGGCTCGGCGGTGGTATGGGCTTCAGGTGACAGAGTGACGGGGTGTCAGCAGAGCTGGTATTCCGCTCAGTTCATGCATCCACCGTTCCTGGGCTGAGTGGGCATGGCAGGCCCCTCTGACTGCTGTGGATGGGCTACATGACCAGCTGGCTAGCTGTACTTTTCGGGGAAATTCAGAGAAAATCAGGGAGAGAAGTGGACAGGTAAAAACTTGGGGTCATGGTTCTCCAGATGACCCTAAGGTCTCCATGCCCTGGAACTCATTGTTGGGGTGAAGCCGTGCCAGAGGCCTTGTTCGCTGTTCTGGAGTTCTCACAGGGTGACAGGGTGTGTCCCAGGCCACGGTGGGCGGTGTTATGAGTACAGCCCCGATCTGGGCTGAGGCCCGGGCATCAGCATGGAGCCTCCAGCAAATGCAGGAGAACGCCCGCACTACAGCCATCCCTCTAAGCGGCGTGGGGTGCTTCTCCTCCATGAGCCTGCATCGGTGTCTGGGTGGGTCTGTTGAGGAGAGGGAGCGAGGGGATAGCTGGTGTCCTCGGTTATGAAGCATGTGAATGAACATGATCTTGTCTGAGACAAGTAAGGTCCAAAGCCACGCACTGTTCCGCCCCCCAGCTCTGGAGAAGCCCGGAGAGTGTGGGTGGCGGTAAAATTGTCCTTCAGCCTCTCGGACAAAACAGCCTCCACGGAGCACACAGGAAACGCCCCCTGGATGGCTCAGGTCTGGCCCCAGATTCCAAACCGCCACCAAGCACCAGACCTGCTGGGGTGCTTGGCACATGGACTTCTGAGCACCTCTGCCCACATTTGCACCCCGAAAGTGGTGCTTGGTTATGGCTAGCACTTTGGTAAAGGTGTGAGCAAAGGAAACAATACCTCATGGTAGACATGCGGTGAAGACGTATGGATGGGGACCCCCAAAATGACATTAGCTCCTTATCATCAGTGTCTTCCTTTCCAGATGACCAGCTGAACTCAGAGGAGAAGAAGAAGAGGAAGCAGCGGAGGAACCGGACCACCTTCAACAGCAGCCAGCTGCAGGCCCTGGAGCGCGTCTTCGAGCGGACCCACTACCCCGATGCTTTCGTGCGAGAGGACCTGGCCCGCCGCGTGAACCTCACCGAAGCCAGAGTGCAGGTAACCCCAGGCCCCCCTCTCAGAGGCACGGCTCTGAGGACTATTTAAAACAGGGTTGGAGGTGCCAGCTGGAGCTCGTGCTAATTAATTAGAATTATAAATGGACAACTTGAGGACAGAATCAGTTTCTCTTTGTTTTTTTTAATCATCTTATTGTAATTTTTTTCATCACAAGTTATCCCACCTATACCCTCTTCCACCTCTACCACCGCCCATCACCACACTGCCATGTCCACTAGTGCCTTTTGTTTTTCACTCGATCCCCGCATCCCCCTGAGCGGCGCCACCCCAAGCTGTCAGCCTGCTCTCTGAGTCTGTCTCTAGCTTGCTTATTAGATTATTTTGTTCTTTAGATTCCACATATGAATGAGATCACATGGCATTTGTCTTTCTCTGACTGGTTTATTTCACTTAGCATAATGCTCTCCAGGTCCATCCATGCTGTCGAAAAAGGTAAAATTTTTCCTGGTTTTTATGGCTGAGTAGAATTCCATTATGTAAATGTCCCATAGTTGTTTCATCCACTCATCTACTGATGGACACAGGGCTGCTTCCAAACCCTGACTGTTGTACATAACGCTGTGATGGACATAGGGGTGCACACACCCTTTCCAATTAGTGTTTTGGATTTCTTCGGATGAATTTCCAGAAGTGGAATCGCTGGGTCATACAGCAGTTCCATTTCTAATTTTTTGAGGTATCTCCATACTGCTTTCCACAGTGGCTGCCCCAGTCCACAGGCCCATGAACGGTGCAAAAGTGTTCCCCTTTCTCCACATTCTCACCAGCTCTTATCGTCTGTTGATTTATTGATGAGAGCCCTTCTGACCGGGGTGAGATGATACTTCATTGTGGTTTTAATTTGTATTTCTCTGATATTAGTAACGTTAAGTGTCTATTCCTATGTCTGTTGGCCACCTGTATGCCTTCTTTGGATCTCTGTGTTTCCTTAGGCAGCAAAGTATTTTAAAACGTGAAACTGAATGCCTTTAAGGTGGGGTGGGGGAGACTACCCCCTCCTCCCCGTGTACCAGCTCTTCAGACTCATGATACAAACGCTGTCCAACTCAGCCCTTGACTCTGCACCCCCCAGATTTCAATCTGAGCTTCCAGGCGGACAAGGGTATGACCTCTCTGCCCCACCTCAGTTTTCCTCCCCAGACCTTGGAATGTGCAGACCTTTCAGAAACCTGCTATGGACACACGTGGTTGTAGACGCTGAGGGAATGGGAGATGAACACATTAAGAGCACGCACTTAGGAACCTGCATGAAGAGCGCATTCAAGTGGAGGCTCTGGGGTTTCTGTGGGGTGAAGAAGGGTGAGGGCGTGTCAAACAGGGAAAGAGAGACCAACTCTAACATTAATGCCATGACATACCCGCGACAAGCAATGGCACAGCCCGTGATGCGCACTAATCACGGTCATGGAACTCACGCTACTTGAGCCCTTCCACACCAAGTCCTGTTCTCAGTTCTCTACCTAAGCAAATCTGTTCAACCCTCATGCCAGTTCGATGAGGCAGCAGTATTCTTCATCTGACAGAGGAGGAAACTGAGGCACAGAGCAGTGCAAGGGTTCTGCCCAGCGTCACACATCTAGGAAGAAGCTGAACCGGGACCTGAACACAGAAGCACAGACCCAGAGTTCCTGCTGTGAGGCGCTACGCCAGACTCGGAATGTGTGTCCAGGTAGCTCCTTGCTCCCTCTGAGAACGCCACCGTCTCGTCATCGTCCGCGTTGCCAGTGGCCGGCTGCAGGTTTGCTCAGGGCGGTGGGCCCGGGCTGTCTTCCCTTCCTGAGAATTACTGTGTGCACATCCATGTTCAGTTGGGCCGGGAGGACCGCTTTCTGCAAGTAACCTCCCTCTGGCCCACCGGGGCCTGGAGCGGCCCTGCGGGCCTTGAGGCGGGAGCCTGTCTGTGCCGTGACCGTGGGGTGCTAGAGAGACACTGGTGAGGTGAGGGAGAGGCCCTGGGGGCCCCTCAGACCAAGAGACAGCACGTAAGAGCTGTCCGCATGGGAAAAGGAACCTCACCTGGAAGTGCTCTCCTGGAGACGAACAGTGTCGGTGACCAGAGAGGAAAGGTGCCTGGGCGCCATGGTGGCCCCGAGGACAGGTTAGGGGTGGCGTGCCCATTACCGCTGAGGGACCCCTCGCTCAGGTGGGAGTGCTCCTGAGGACAAAACCCTGTGTTTGTGTTTCCACTCTCCCGCCCAAAGCAGAACTCTGAGCTGAGCCCTCTCCTGTCCTTCCCCCCGCCGGCCCCTTACCGCAGCTCTCCACCCACACTCTGTTTCTACTCTTAAACCCCTTCTCGCCTCCAATCCCCGACATCTTTTATGGCCCCGGCGCGGCCTGCAGTGTGTAATGAATAACTTTAGCCCAACAGTACCCAAATAACATTTTTTAGCAATGAATAACTTTCACCCACAGCACCTGAAAGTACCACTTGCACTGGGGTGACCTGAATTGTCAATGAAGAAAGCTGGCCAGGGCAATGTTAGAAATGGGAAAGAATGTGAAAGAACAATGCTGGGGCTGGGAGCTACTTGGCCCCCTCGTAACCATCACTAAATGGCTTTCTTCTCTGTTGAAACCATCCTCTCTTCCTCCTTTCTCACCCTCCCAAGTTCCCGTGGGTTTCAGAGCTGTGAACATCTCCTGTGTGGAAAGGCCAGAATGCTCCCTCTTCGACTTGATTCCTCCTCAGTGAAGTCTCACCCCTTCCTGTCCGAACCACGCCCTTCCCAGTCTGGTCTTCTCTGTATGAGCAGCATTCATCACGATGGGACAAGCATTACATGGAGCTGTATGTGGGCCAGCTTCCCCCACTGGACTGTGAAGTTCTCTTGGCTGGAAGCCGTATCTTATCATCTTTACACAATTCATCTCTTTCCCTCTGCTTTCCCCCACCTCAAACATTTATCAAGCACCTAGTATGCTATTGGAACTGTCTCTGCGTGTCTGGGGATGGCTGGGCCACTGCCCTCCCTGAGGGATGTCACAGACTGGGGCAGACAAGACAGATGTGCACATCATGCTGTTGTGATGCAGTAAGATAATTCCTATGCCAAAGGAATGTTCGAGAACTAGTGATTAAATAAATAGTGAAACAGAACAAAAGAATCAGTGACAGAGCAGAGGAAGGAATGCTCGAATCCACCTGGGAAAAAAGAGTCCGCATTCAGTCAGTGCTGAAATGGTGCCAACTGTCACAGCAACCCTGCGAGCGGGTACTAGTGTCCTCATTTGACTGGGAGACAAAGGATCAGAGAAATTAAATACATGTCCAAGGACACATCTTTAAAGTCTTGTAGCCCAATGGAATTCTATGCAGCAGAAAGAAAGAAGGAGCCCCTACCCTTTGCGACAGCATAGATGGAGCTGGAAAGCATTATGCTAAGTGAAGTAAGCCAGGTGGTGAAAGACAAATGCCATATGATCGCACCTTTAACAGGAACCTAATCAACAAAACGAACAAACAAGCAAAATATAACCGAAGACACTGAAATTGAAAACAGGCTGACAGTGACCAGAGGGGAGAGGGGAGGGAATTGCTGGGGAAAAGGGGGAAAAGGGGAAGGGTTTGCAGGAACAAGTATAAAGGACACGTGGACAAAAACTAGGGGTGGGGTAGGAATGGGAGAGAGGTGGGGAGGGCTGGGGGGGTGGGCTGGGATGGGAGTAAAAGACAGAAAAATGTACTTGAACAAAAATTAAAATAAGATAAAAATTGAAAATAAAAATAAATTAAAAAATTAAAAAATAAAGTCTTGTAGTGAATATTTTTATCCAACTCTGCTAGACTTTTAAGTCCTGTTCTTTCCATGGCATTTCACAAAGGACACAATGTTGCAGTTGAAACTTGAAAGTTATGTCTTTTGGCACCTGGACAAAAGGGACGAATGTCAGAGGCAGAAGGAGCACTGGGTGCGAACACACACAGATGGGAAACAGCCAGCCATGTGGATAGGCCTGAGCCCGGGCAGGAGCTGGAAAGACGGAGGGCCAGGTGCACGGGGTTGGAGCTGTACAGGATGCAGCGGGACTGGTGGACGGAGAGCTCATTCCTGAACAGTCTTCGTTCTATGGAAAGGCATTTTGATTTGATTCTATGAGTGATGGGGAGCCAGTGGATGAGATCTAGCAGGCTCTTTCAGGGTGATATCTGCATTTAAAATGATAACTCTATTAGCAATGTGAAGGGCACATTCACACAAAAGGGCCGGGAGTCTGCAGAACCAGGACAGATGTGTCCGGATTGTCTTTACTTACCCCCATGGGCCACCAGTCTCGGGGTACTTTCTGTGAATGCTGCTCACTAGAGTTGTACAAACGTCCCACTCTGTGGCATAGGATTTCTCTCTGCCATACCTTGTCATGCATTTCTATAATTGTACCTAAAATGCTTGTTTTGCATATTTCAAATTTACATGTCTGTCTTCTAATAGGCTGTGAGCTGCCTAGGGGCAAGCAGAGCCTAAGTCTCATCTCTCTGTCCCCAGCATTTGACGCAGCCTGCAACACAGCAGGCCCTCCATAAGGGACTCTTGAATGAGTAGATGAATGAATAAAATTCCATGGTCATCTGCAGAGTTGTTGGATCAGGAGTCAGATGTCCTTGAGCTCCCACACTCAGCCATTTCTTATATCTGTGAACTTCAGCAGATTGCTTCATCTCACTGAACTTGTCTCCTCAACTCAGAGACAGCAATAAGAAAGCCTAATACATGGCATTGTTCTGATAACGAGAAGTGATGGACGCAAGGTGCTTATATAAGCTCCTCACCCTGGCAGCACTTAGTAAATAACAGGCTGATCGCAATGCTGTTGGCACCGGCCATTTCCCTCCAGCCCCACAATCGAATGCAGTCCATTGAACTTCCAACCTTTGGCATCTTCTTTTCTGTCTCACAAGTTTCTCTCCGGAAGGTCGGGTGCTGCCCTGTCTGTGTCCAGTGTGTCAGAAGTGCTGGAACATTAAGAAGCCACGAGGACAGGAGCAAATCCTTAGTTCTCCTGCCCCTTGGCGGCAGTGCGTGCCCCTCGGAGGGAGCCCGGGGCTGCGGCAGCCCCCACCGTCCCGGGGGACTGAGCTCACTCTCCTCAGTGGCTGCTCCCCGTCTCTGCTGCTTCCTCACCCCGAAATCCCTTCCTTCTCACAGCCTTGTCACAGGGCCCACCTCGGGGCCGATGAGGAACTCTCTTTAAAGAGCCCATAAGTATTATGAAGTTTTTGCATTTTGAAGGAACTTGAAAGATGTCCTCATCTCTGTGGCAGTCATGCGAAGGGATTTTTTTCTCTCTCTTGACCGTAATTACAACAGGGATCCTAAGCCCTGCTTTGCCAGCTCGAGGGTTAGTCGCGGACCTCACCTCTGGCATGCCGAGAACCAGAAGCCCCTGGGGATCCTGCTGGACTGCGTGCTCCCCCTTCGGGGCTCTGACACAGCCCACGGGGGGGCGGGCTCCGGCACGTTTCTGTCCTCCGGGCAGTGCCGGGCGACTCGGCGTCTTCCTCAGGAGGGCGTCGTCTAGTGACATCGACCAGGACCTCCCGGTGTAACCTGCTCTTCTTCTTTCTCCCTCCTGTGCCCTTCTCTCCTCCCGACCGCCTTCCAGGTGTGGTTTCAGAACCGAAGAGCCAAGTTCCGCAGGAACGAGAGAGCCATGCTGGCCAACAAAAACGCTTCCCTGCTCAAGTCCTACTCAGGAGACGTGACTGCCGTGGAGCAGCCCATCGTACCTCGTCCTGCTCCGCGGCCCACCGATTATTTCTCCTGGGGGACGGCCTCTCCGTACAGGTGAATGACTGGCCCACTCCCCCTTGCTCCACTGCCACACGTTTCTCAGCGCCCGGGCACGGTCGAGGCTGCTCGGGCAGCTGGCTGCCATTTCTTACTGGGTTAACCTCTTCAGAGACATTCAACTTGCTGACATCCCCAGATTTCCACAGGAGATTACTAGCTGCCCCCAGGAGCGGGGTCTGGGGCAGAAGAGAGGGGGCAGGCCACCTGCAATCTCCTCTTGGACTCAGGAACTCTTGCAAAGGTTTCAAAGATGGGGAAGAATCTAAAAGAAAAGTCACTAAAGCTATGCTCAGAGTCCCTCTTGCAACCATTTTGGAACAGAACTTTACTCCATTTCCAAATTTAAGATAAATCCATTTTGCTCAAGTAGGAATTGCATTTGTAGGGCTCTAAGTACAGGTCCAAGGGCAAACTGCATGGTAATACTGATTTTGAATTAAGATGGGTGGGTGGAAGGAAGGAAGAAAGGAAGGAAGGAAGGAAGGGAGGGAGGGAGGAAGGGAGAGGGAAAAAGGTAGTGGAGGGACAGAGAGAGAAGGAAAGAAAATCAAAGATCGTTTAGATAGCCACGGTTCTTTGTTAGTAGGTGGGGTGTCTTATGATCCAAAATACCTTCCTATTCTATTGCTAATTCTTATCTACTTATCTGAGGTTCTTTGGGGGTCAGTTTGTGTGGGTTTTTAAAAGTATAAAAACAATGTATAATTTACACTAAACTTTTATATTAAAAAGGTGAATATTTTTAAAGAAGCAAGTAACAGAGCACTATTTCAATGTCTCGGACAGGCTTTAAGCTCCATTTACTACGCTGTTCAGAGCTACAGGTTGATGCCAGAGGGAAGGTGAGACACAGGTGCCTAGCACATTGTCATCAATACAGGTGCCTTTCTTTGAACCTGAACCTGGATGCTCTCAGAAACCCCATCAGGGTTATCTCTGGCTGATGGCAGTGGAGAAAGAATTATTTACAAATTCATTTATTATGCTTTGGTTACCTTTTTATCGTGAAAGCTAACTAGTGGTTTAAGGAGATGTTTTAAATTAATTATAGGAGATTATCCCCCAGGTGATGTTGAACTCCTGGTGTAAAATGCCACACTTGTGAAATGCAAATATTTTTCAGAAGTTAATTGCTCTAATCAAAACAAAAGGCCTCACCTAAAGGTTCTTTCTATCCCAAATCAGTTCCTTGAAAGGAACACCATAAATGCATTTGGAAATCTCTTCTAAATACCAGCCTTGTGAAATTAGCCTGAATTGCTTTGGTCTTAGTGCATAGAGACCTCCCCGCACAGGAAACTGGAAATTCTTGCTCTCAGACATGGTACACCTTGCTAATTTCAAACGATTAGTCATATCTTTATGTCCCATTTAAAATTTAAGACTCCTCTCCCACAGAATTACTAGAGATACCCTTTGAAGACCATTGTGAAATCACCCACTCTAGTGTTGCAAGTGCAGGAAGACGGCTTCGTCCCTCTGATAAACACCGATAGCGCACACACAGGCTCACTAAGTGGCTTGGGAAATGGATGCGGTTCCAAGCTCGATGTTTCAAGGTCTCTGGTTTGAATTTGGTCACAGCCAGGAATTCCTGCTCCCTTTTCTGCCTGGGTCCTACATAGGAACTTTTCACACCAGCTCTAAACCACCCAGGTGGCTGGCCAGTGGTCCCTACCAGGCGAGGCTGAGGGCAGCCCGCTGCGCGAGCAGGGGGAAAGCCAACCTGAATTGTGTCGGTTGGATGCCTGGGCCTCAGCGGAAGTTCCAGCCCCGGGGCCGCCACCATATGTTTTGTGTATATGGGCATCTCACTGAAACCATTAACATGCAACTTATCTGTGCCTTTTTGGGAAATGTTCTATTTTACTTTGAAAGATTATGTAGAAACGTTAGATACATTTAAAAAATACTCATAATTCCACCATCTTGACATAACTAGTTTGCTTACTTTTGCAGTTAGAGTTCAATATTTTATATAGTGTAGACTTAGTGTACATATTATTTTGTATTCTACTCTTTTCATTTAAAATTATATAATCTAGTACTTTTTGCTCATTTCACGGTATACTTTTATATCATTTCTATTTTAGATACAGAGTTTGTAAAAAAATAATTCATTAAAAAGTTCATAGAATCTGATTGTTCATATTCTGTATGAAGAGTAAATTAATCTCCAGATATTAGTGGAAAAAATGATGGTTTGAAACAATAATTTAATCAATAATAATGTTTTTGACCCAATGTTGACTGAAGTGTTTCTATTTTGATTAATTTCTAAAAGTGGCAAAAAGCTATTCTGTTCCTTGGAGATTTTTCTGCTATGTTTAGACCCAAAATACTTTATGATCTCACACTTTGAAGCTTGATAGGAAATATAAGCCTTGTTAGGGAACTATACAAGAAAAACAAGCGGTGAAAAGCAAAAGGAAATGATAGAGCTTTTGTGTCATGGAAAATTAGCTCACTACTCCTGTCAGTACTGTTATGTCAAGCTAGTCACCTCAGCTGTGACATGCACTAAAAGACACCTCTCTTGGTCACCCCTGGGAACGCTCCTGTGTGCGAGCTCTGTCCTCACTATGGTTCCAAAGAAGAGACTGAACAGTCGCTTGAGTGTCAGCCTTCGGCAAGCAGAATTAGACCCAGTGCTCAGGATCCCTGTCTGTCCCACATACAAAGACACCCGGCCAGATTTTTGTTTAAATGACACCTGACATAATGCTGAAACTAGGAAAAGGAGAAGACTGGAAAACTATGGAAACATGCCCTTTTGAGCCAGGGTCTGTCTCCAATGAGTGAGGCACGCCTGTAGCAAGGTCCACCTTCTGGGGTGCGTGGACATCCATCCCCTTGGGATGACGTGTGGGGCTTGGCCACGCCACCCAGGGACAGAAAGCGGATGGTTTTGTCAGGCAGGACAGTTTTCCAGCTCCCACAGCTCTCCTCTGGAGAAGAGAGGAGAAAACAAGACTCAGATAAAGCACTTGAATGCATATGGTCAGGATTATGGGATGGGAAATAGCCAACACATATTTTTCTGGGTCCAGAGTGGTGGCCGTATAATTTATCGTCCAAACCGCGATGCTTTCGAGAGGGAAAGGGGAGTGCTATTAGTAATAACACTAGGACAACAGGCATGGAACTGGGAGTGTCCCTGGCAAACTGGGACAGAGGGTCCACACTATTTTAGCGTATCATGGCCTTGTTCATTCCCTTGAGCTTGTGAGAGGTAATGGTGTCAGGCAGGCAACTGAGTCCCCAGAGGGAGCCAAGCACGACCTCACACTGGCACTTCTGTCCCAGCAGGTGTCTTCCTTATCTTCCTGCAGCCAGGCAGAGAAAGCTTGTTCCAGGCACTACGTACCCACTGTTGAGCTCAGCACTGCTTTCCTTAGGTGCAGATCACACCAGCGCCAGTGTCATGAAGGCTCACTGTCTTGTGGGGGCTGGCCTCTGGGGTGGCCCCGAGGGACCACGTCCAGGACCTTGGACCCTTGCTGTAGAGGCAGGCATCTAGCACCTTTCCCCAGAGACCCCCTGTCCTACAAGAGGCAGAGAATGGCCTGGCTCGGCAGTCTGGGTCTACAGGACCCTGTCCAGAGGGCGGGCTGGGCTTCCAGGAGAACTAATGACCAGTGAGAGGGAGGCTAGCTTTCCTCGCCCACAGTTTCCCTCCTCTACCCTCCTCCTCCTCCCCTCCTTTGGTCGTGGTCACCGACATCTGCTGAACGCATTTGGCTCATTTCTCCCTTTCACACTTTCAAAAATAGATCCTCGTCCCTCCCAAGATGTTGTTTACACGAGGGACTTCATAACGGATTCTAACGGAAGACACTGAAAAGGTAACTTGTCAGAGGGGGGAGGGGGCGGCTGCTGGGGGCAGGGTTTAAGTGGGAAATAAGTGTTTGAGAAAGTGGGGCTCGCAGTCCTAGCAATGAAAGCAGGGAGGTCCTTAAGTGGGGAATACCTTTGGAAACCAACTGCAGCTGCAAGAAAACGTGGCCAGAGCTAAGGGAATTCTGCAAGCCTAGAGCAGGGCTCCTCGAAAATTACTGCATGTATGGATTGCCAGGGACCGTGTTAAAATGCAGTCCCACTTCTGCGGCTCTGACATGGGCTCATGGGATGCCGCACTGTGGACACTTGGGACATACTTGGAAGAGCGAGGCTTTACATGACCGTAGGGGCAGAGGTCAGAAGAACGATGGTCTTGTCCTCAGGCCAGCTGGATCATCTATTTCTTACACAATCTAAGATCGAGCCACTCAAGTTTTCCTATTAACTGTCTCCCCAGGATGTGTGGAATGGGTAGGTAAGCAATGTGCATTTCAAAGAGGATGTAGGAAAATCACTGAGACAAGGGATGGGTGCAAGGCTTCAGACAGAACGCCCCAGTAGAAAGAAAAGTTAAAAATGGCAAAAGGACCCCTGAACCCCAGGGCAAAGGAGGATTACCAATGAAATAGGGTCTGAGTGTGTCTACTTTGAGAGCCAAATATACATTTTTAAAAGTCGATTTTTTACATTTTACAGCTCTGAATTTTGAAAACGATTATTTAAATCACAAAAGGTCACTTCCAAAGGGTTTCTGGGGTCCCTCCCAAGAGCCGATTTCCCTGGGAAAACCCCCACTGGACTGTCTTAGGCGAAGCCAGTGTGCCCCTGGCTCTTGCCTGATGAATGCACGGGGCTGGGCGTGGCCTCCAGCCTCCACGCGCCACAGGCAGGGCTGTGCAAACCCCCAGCTCTGCAGCCTTTGGGAGAACCCTGAGCTGGGGAACACTGGGATCTCAGAAAGCACACAGATGTCTCGGGCTAACAGATCCGTCTTGGAGGTGGAATTCTCAGCAGCTTGTCATCATTTGTCCAAAGGGGCCAAAGAGAACAACACAATTAGAGCCAAAAATCGAGTCGGGTGTTCCTGTCCCCTGCACTGTCCTCAGTTATTTTGTGACCTGTGGGCCTCACACTATGGGAGATCGGGAAGCAGAGAGGCAGAGTCCCAGCTTTAAAACTATCGTGTATAGTATTTCTTCGTGTGTAGCAGCCATTGTAACACATTCTTCTTCATGACGGCCTTTCAGGGTAGGCTGAAATCATCAAAAATGATTTGTTCCCAGGGAAAGCAGAACTCTGCCCCTGCTGGTGGCTAGCCTGCTGCCGTGTATGGCTGAGCTCCATCTGTTCGGCATCTCCAAATAAGGGGGTGGGGGGTGTTCCAGCTCACTTCCACGGGTCTGCTCTGTGTGAGGCTCCGTGTAGACTTGCGGAGCCATCAGACAGGATACGAGCATTTCTTTTTCATGTCTAATTCTTCGGTGTACTTGATTTGGCCTCACAGTTTCTTGGTTGTGGACACAAAAAACTTGACGTTCCTAACAACAAATGGAAATGTTGGCACATCCTGTTGGAGGAGCACGTGCTCCTGACTCATAGAGCTAAGGCCAGGGCATTGGGCCTCTGCATGTTGGGCGGCAGGCCCTTGGTGTGGTCGTGTGCCTAATCAAGGCAAATCATTGAGTTTCCGTTTCATCTTTTTGTCCCAGGAAGCTTGATCCTATATAGGGAGGAGTGGCCACTTTATGTGGTTTGAATGGTCCTATAAATTCAGCTGCAAACAGCCTGTTGCCCTCCTTGGTTTCTGTCCTGTGAGAAAACATTCCAGGGTTTCGTGTCTTTGCCTAACACAGAGCAGCAGAAGTTCTGATGACGTGGAAACAGGTGGTCATGAACAGTCCGACTGGCAGCCACTCCAGCTCTGTGGCACCTGTTGTCCTTTCATGAGCGCGTCCCTCCCATTTCGCTTCTGAGGCCGTGCTTAAAGCATGACTAAACTGCACCCGGAGGACCCACTCACTGACCCTGTCTTCGCTGAGCTGGAACAAGTCCTGCTGGTCACTAGCACATCAAAGGACTGCTCCCTGCTTGCCTCCCTGGCATTTTTAGTTCGAGCTAAGAAACAAAAACCATGTCCAAGTACTCAGGGGACACCGACTCGTGATTCTGTAGTATGTGCACAAAATCTCACCGCAGTCTCTACGTGTACAGTTAGATATTCAAAACACTTGATAAGAGGTGGTGAATTAAGACTCTTAGTTTATTTCTTATGGCTATGCAATGCTGGAATAATTTAGGTCAATTTTTGAAAGTTTCTGGCTTTCCTGAACATCTGTCAAAGGAAAATGGTGTCACTTGCCAAGCTCCGAGCGAACTACAAAACTCACTCATGAACATCCACCCTTTTTCGCCCCGTGGTCCCACTAGTTTAGGCCTCACTGAGCCAGCCCACAGTGCAAGCAGACAGGACGCTGTTCCCAACTCTCCTACCAGGCTGCCGTGTAAGGGAAAGTATCTCAGCGAAAATCCAGTCTCCGGTGCAAGAGAGAACCCTGTCATCCACTCACCCGGTTTTCAGATGGGAAGTGGGTCGGCATTCGTCTCATTTGGATTGTGAATTTCTGGCCTGAGTTGGTGAGGGAATTTCAGTGTTTCCAAGACACCTGTTACCACGTTGAGTCTTGAGACTAGAATGTCATATGATATTCATAAACTATGCAGAAACTACTGCAGCACTAGTACTGTCACAGATAAAACTGAAACTACAACCATAGTGATTTCAGTGTTATCAGTGCTCTCCCAAGAAGTTTTAGTCTTCTGTTCTAGGGAGCCATCCAGTTTCCTTCTTGGTACTTAAGATTAATACAGGTAACTCGCAACCCCAGCCTCTCTCCTGTGCATTTCAACAGCTCTGTGCCTTTCAGGGCTTCCCTCTCACACGGAGGCCTGGCTGAGAGCGCCTGACTTGGCTGACTTTGTGATCTATGATGTGGGCACATTTCCCAAATCCAATGATCTCTTTTCTGACCAACTCAGATCTTTGATTTCTTAGACTTTAGTGTATCCTAGGGCTTCCTTGAGTAGAAGACTTATAGATTTGCATGTATTTCTGTCAGGTCCTTGAATGGAAGCATGCAATTCATATAGGAATTAAATGATTATTAATGTATGTGAGTTTGGAAAATAAGTGGAATTTCTTGGTATATTGTAAAGAAAAAACAAACCCATTCCATTTTAATAGGTTGTTCTGAGCACTTAGCTTACTGCTAATCGAAACCTATCCTAACTGGGGTCTCTTTTTCTGCCTCTGACTTTGGTAGACAGTGGTAGAGGTGATAGTCTGTTCTGCAAGTCTAACCTGCATTCATATTTGTTCAATTTTTTTACTTTAAAAGCTATCATTGATGGCTTTAAAGCCATGCAATCACCAGTGCCTGTTTTTGTCATGTCCTTTCTGATTTTGTGCATTCTATTAAGACAGCAAAATTAACAGGAAGGAATTGCTCCTAAGGATAAAAGCATATTGGTGAAATATTTTTAGAAATCATTACTCACAGCAGGATGACAGAGAAAAATGACACTGAACTGGAATCAGTTTAATCATACCGTATGTAGACATTTCTTAGTTATTCATCTACTCATTAAATGCATTATTAAATGCCAAGTGTGTGGTGGACAGGAAGTTAACTCTACCTGGGGAGACAGCGTGAACAGGGCACATATGACGTCAGACCTGTGGCGCTTACAGCTGAGGAACTGAAATTAGTGCCGAAAGGAAAAGTACAGGGAGCTATGGGAGAACCCAACTTTGTGTAGATAGTTAAGTTCATCAATCCAGAGATGGGTAAGACTGAAGCAGGCAAAAAGGAAATACAAGAACATAAGGACCTTTTATAACTCTTCTGAACCTTCTTCCTTCTGCCATAACACACACACACCAGTGCTATAAGGATTTTTAATTAAGAATGTATATTCCCTGAAAGACCTAATGATCTGGGACAAATTATATTTCTTCGAGTTAATGTTCCTGGGTTAATTGCCAGTAACTGAGCTGAAACAGGCTACTGTGGGTCTTGACCACAAGTCTTGATGGTGCGGTGTCCCAAATAAGTATTAATGACAGAGTTTCTCTATACGAGCAGTAGCTTTAGCGTTCCGCCTTTCTGCTCTGTCACCTGATCCCCCGAACCACAGACTCCTGTGCGGCTGACAAAACTGCACTGGAATGCAGGCAATGGAAGGCTGCACGTCATTCCGTTTGTAAGTCTGTCTCAGTTGAAAGGGATTTTGCTAATCTTAGAAACAAGTAGAAACACTTTCACTTAATTAAAATGAGTTCCCTTTTAACTGTTTATATAAAGTAATGAATAATTTGCATCTAAGTCTTAGAAGCCACTACTTTTTCCTTTAAAAGAAATGTATGGATGCAAGTAGCAGAAAACCACCAATTACAAACTTCTTCCCAGTGGTATTCCTAGGTCTTAATTACCATCTCTGACAGCGGAACGCAGAACTCCAGGTTTCCCTCAGCAATACGGACAGCGAGACGCAGGCTGGGAATCCTGGAACTGCAGCCTGCGCTAGTTTATTTAGGAGGCTGAAACGTTTAGGAGGCTGAAAAGTTCCTGACCCAAAGGGCAGTGCCCAGAGCTACTCCAGTCCTCTTGAGAAGTTAGCGAATCAAGGCCAGTTGGGACGGGAACCTCTGGATTTGGTGATGCTTGCTTGGTACTATCAACCGGGGAATCAAGAGTGGCAGGGAAGTTACCTTGGGCTGTTGCACTGATTCTCTAAGCACGGTATTTCGGAGGGTATTTATTGATCATCTGAAATGTGTTAGAATGAAAGCTTCCTAGAGTGAGGAAGGCAAAGTGCCCTTTTTCAAACGCCACCTCTGCTCCCTTATTGCTCCTGAGGGCCAGGGACGGAGGCAGGAAGAAGGACTAAACAGTTTTAATTGGTCAGCTGATCACACACCTGCCATTCAACATAAGCTGCTCTCTCCTCTCACCCCAGAAATAAATCGTGACTCACTGTATCCAACACAGCCAATGCCCCTCCCCAGCGCATCCCTTGGTCCAGTCCTCACTGCTTTCCCCACCCCCCACCCTTCCGAACACAGCCACCACTGCCCAAGGGCCCTAGACTATGGAAACCTGGGGCTGTGAGGGACCTCGGAGGCCACCTAGTCCGACCCGCCTGCCCCGCTGGCCCCCGTCCTGAGAGTTGCACCCACCTGGGGCACAGACTTGCCGCTTCGTGAAACTAATGCCTGTTGTTCTCCCTGCTCTCTCCTTTGTCCCTACAGTGCCATGGCTACTTATTCTGCCACATGTGCCAACAATAGCCCTGCACAGGGCATCAACATGGCCAACAGCATTGCCAACCTGAGACTGAAGGCCAAGGAATATAGTTTACAGAGGAACCAGGTGCCAACAGTCAACTGAGGAAAAAAATAATTAAACAGGCCTAAGAAGAAATCCAAAAAAACCATAAGACACCTATCCTGTTCTGTCATTTCTTCATCTGCTGGAAAAAAAATAATAAAAACAAACAAACCAAAAAACAGAACTAAAATATTGGGACCATGGCAGAGAAGAGCAGGAGAGGAGACAAATGCAAATTAGTTCACAGTCACTCCTCCCCCCGGGGGTCCAGCACCTCTCGTTGCTGGGTGCGTTCGTTTTGTCTGTCCTTCTGTCCGCGCTTTGCTTCGTATACTCCGAGCTTCTTCAGCGGGGTTCAGCCCACCCGCCCCCATGATTGTATGGGTTTTTAAAAAGTCTACAGCAGCCAAAGAAACCATCTATATATATATATTCTGAATAACTGCCTATAGTCTCCTCATTGATGTGTTTCAACCTCGGTGCCTTAACCCACCCCTCTTCCCACTTTCCTGTACAGAGAGGCTCTAGGAACTTCCGAAAAGCCAGAGCCTTTCTAAAGAACCCGTGCCACACACGAGTCCCCTCCTCCCTGTGTCCACCTCTGCGGGCCGTGGTAAGGCTTGTCCATCAGCTGCTGTGGGCGGAGAAAGGCAATCCTGTGCAGCAGCCGGCCGCCGGCCTATATAGCTGGTCCTAAGCAATAAGCTCTAGACCGAATCTCTAGATTTAAGCTCTAAGCTATCGATCATATCACCGTGGCCCCCATCCTAAAAGTCAGCCTTCCTCAGTTAAAGATATTTGTTGCTTTTCAAAGATTTGCTGTCATGGGCTATTTGCTAGAAGGGGTATTTTTCATTTGACTGGGGGAGTGAAGTGTCTCTCAGAAAACCAAGACCAAGTTGTGAAAGGCATGGCCTCTATCTGCTTGGTGCCTTCGGGTCATTGGGCGCACACCTATATATACGCTGTATATATTTATATATTTTATATCTGTATAAAACATTCTCTCGAGCTGGAGTTTGCAGTCTCTCAAACACAGCAGAGCGTGACTCTCCCACCGTCAGCGCTGTCACTAGCCCTACAGTCATGAGACGGTTGGCTGGGGATCTCGTTTCCTTTCTTTCTCTCCACAGCATTCTCACGAAGGCCACAGAGCCATGGCTAGGGCAGCTGTTGGAGAGCGGGTCTCACGGTCGCATTGGGGCTCTCCATAAATGAGGAGCGATGTGAGGCTGTAAGAAAGTTCTTGAGCTTGCTGCCTGAACTTGGGTGCAATGCTGACACGGCCTGATCTCTCACGGGCACTGCGTGGTGGGGGCGGCCGGGAAAGCCGTTTGGCCAGCTGCCCTGTTATGACTCGGCAGGAATCTGAGAGACACATGTGGAAGTGGAATACTTCAAGGTTTGTCTGAGTTTCAAAAAAGACAATTGTGGGCTCTTTTTCTTTTCTAATTTTTTTTTTTCAAATAAAGTGTAGTGGCTAGGGCTGGGAGCCAGGACTGACCTCTCTGTTTCTTTCCCTCCGTTTCCAGCTGGGCTTTTGTAACTTGTCAGGCGGACTTGACCAAACCATATTATCATGCGGTGCCTCAGTTTACCTTTTTGTAAAATGGGTTTAACAATACTTACCTACCTCACAGGGGTGTTGTGAGGCCCTATTCATTTGCTCCTGCATTCTTTCCTATATTCTCTGCGTGTCCAGCACTTCGCAGCCATGGGAGGAAGGGGACTATAAAAGTATTCAAGGTTCGCAGAAGGGCACGGTACCCGGAGGCACTGTTTTCTAGCCAGGAAATGCTGCCGTGCTGTAAATACTCAGAACTTTTGCATTTGGAAATGGGAAATAGGTTTATATTTATAGACCTCTCAGAAATCACATCATTTGACCAAAGAATAATTTAAGCCACACAGAGCAGACACATTTTTTACTTATATTTTCTTCCTGACCAGCTTGGTTCTAATAATTTTAGTTGTCAGTGATTAAAAAACTTGAGATCAATTTTGGCCAAATATATCAACTTTGAGTGACAGGCAAGGAACTTGCGGTTTAAGATGCACTGTGAGTGCATATTTGTTATGTGCCTTGGCATAGCAGGTTGAGTTAACAGTAGTATTTTTTTTTCAGTCAAATAGCCACCAATCTGAAAATGTATTTCGAATGTTCATTCTGTACTTTTTTCTATAAGAAGGAAGCCCATTTTGCTCTTGTCAACTGATTCCCTGTTCTTTTCACCTACTATTCAAGCATTTCTTACTGAACGGTTCATGTAGGTTGTCTGCACAACACAAGTGACATGCTTCCCAAAGGGTCCCCAGGCTAATTCTTTTGTCCCATCATCTGCTGTAAATCATCAAGTTTCAAAGGTACGGTGCATCCTGACAGATTAAAATGTTCTTTGCGAAATCAGTGCAATCCAAGAACTTGGTGAACTTCTGGAGTCTGGGGAGAACACCTAAAGAGGATTTGTATTAGAGTGCAGGGAACAGAAATCACACGTCAAAAAATTTTCCTTGCGGGGGGGGGGGTGGGCAGTCTTAGACGAGGGAGTCAAGAGATGGAGGGTCATGCGAACCAAATTGACTTGAAACCTCTATCTTGACATCCATTTCCGAGGTGAACCAAAAGCCTGACCCCAACGCAAAGTGAAGTTGGGCAGTTCTGTCTGCGCACGGCCTGGGCAAGTGATGTCTGGGAGTACCGTGGGGGATCCAGTGCTGGGCGCCCAGAGGAACGGGCACTGTAGGTGAAGGTACACCACAGGCTTCTAGTATCTAGGCACTTGACCGGGAAGTCTGCCCCTGGTAGAAGCACTCAGTGTCACTCACTGACCGCTGACTTGCTGCAAGCAGAGGTTTCATATATGGTCTGGAGGAGTAGCCTTCTGGCTCCTGAGCCAGGCATCAGCAGAGGGCGTCAGGACCACAGAGTTCAAAGGCAAACCCCTGTCACTCACCATCACTATACGCAGATAAAAAAGCATACAAACAATCTGTATGTGTCCCCAGTCCCTCCCAAACAAGATGCTGATTTCTGGGGTACATGGCAGGTTAAATGGAACCAGATGAGGTGACCGAATAAAAAAGGGAATGACATTTTAGGGTATAAAGATCTCATAAGAAATGTAATATGTAAATTATATCTTGCTTTATGATGTAAAATATACATTGTTTGCGCTAGAATAGAAATGATTCCTTTTCAATAAAAAGAAAGAAGGATACCACATGTTGTCTTTTGTTACATACAGTTGAGTCTGCCTTTTCTCTTTGAACTTCAGAAACAGATCGGTCAGAATCCAAAGTTACATTCAGAGAAAAGTGAAGGTGACAGAGACTTATAAATGAGATAACTTTTTATCAGAGTGTAATATTATCTCCTAAAAAGGAAAATAATCTATTGTTCCTCAAAAGCAAAGACAATGGACGGAGGGAGAGGGCACATGTGTTAGTATAACAGGGAGGTACAGAGAGAAACTTGTGAGTGTTTAGCTATTTTCCACTAACATCTTTATCGTGCACAATACCAACATCATACGACAAAACAGACTTCGGAATAAAGAAATAACAAAGCGAAATTTCTTAAGCCCCTTATCATACATAGCACTGGGTCCGTGGGGATGCGGGGAGTGGAAAACCCAAAGTGGGAGGCAGGGATTCTGTTCTCATGCCAACTAAAGTCTGTATCAAAGGTAACTCTGGCACGAACAAATGTGTACCATAGCTCAGGACAGTCCATGTGTTAAATACCACAGACGAGTGCAGATGAGGAAGGAAAGAAGCACTGTGGGCTGGCGTGGGCACAGGGACTTGAACTTCATCCACCAGCATCCAGGCAGGAGAAGAGGAGGGTGTGGCCTTCAAGTGGGAAAGTGGGGAAGAAGGGATGAAGGCAGAGATACAGAATTGGGGAGTTTGTGTTCGGGAGCCATGGCTGACAGTGTGAAGAGCGAACTTTGAAGCAGAGTGGACAAAAACCCTGGAAACTGAGGTAGGGCTTCATCCGTCAGGAACTGGGTGGCAGGCAAAGAAGTGTGGACTTTTCCTTAAGCCATAGAGATCCACTGAAAATTACTGAGCAGGAAAACAGAAGTCACGCAAAAAATAATTTTAGCAGAATTATTACAGTCAAAGAATGAAGATCAATTAGATTAGAACAGGGACTGTTAGCAGAAGAACACGGTGGGGCGGGCACAGAAAACAAAGGCTGAGGGAGGAACATCCCGCAAAGAAAGAACCACTGAGACTGCACGGCAGGAAAAGGAGGACAGAGTCCAAGCGCCACTGGTTCGGAGCCTGGGGCCTAGGAGGATGAATCACTCACAAAAGTGACAAAAATCAACAAAAACAGGAGAGACTCGGTTACAGGGGGTGATAATTTCAGTCTCAGATGTATTGTTGAATTTGAAAACCAAAATGGAAATATCCAATAAGCGAAGATATGCAGGTCAGGCTTGGAACCAAGGTTAAGGAGGGAGATAGAAGTCTAGGATTCATCTTCAAGGAGGTGACAACAAGAAAGCATGAGTTCTTCCAGAAGAGAGCGTTGTTGTGACTCAGGCGATGTATCTGACAAGTGGCTTTTGGATGCAGTTTCCACCCAGGGAGGAAGACTGGAGATGGAAGGACACCTGCAGTTGGGAACAGGGCTGCCAAAGGCACTGGGCAAGGGGCTGTTTGAAACCCAGGAGGAGGGTCATCTCGTTTGTCATCCCAGAGTTAAGACACGAGGAGTTCTCAAAAAGATGGGGAAGTTGACAATACCCAGTGCTGTCGAGTAGACCCCTGAATACCTGGGGATGGAGGAGAGGCCATTGGCCCCGTGATTTCCCTACAGAATTCTCCATCAGAGTGCCGGGGAGGCCAATTCCAGACAGTGCTGGCAAGAAAAAGTGCTTTAAAACTGGAAGCACTGACTACAGATCACTTGCCCGAGACTTTGGGCATTGAAGGCTTTTTAGTAAGGAATCTTTCAGCTGCAGGTGGCAGAGATCTATCAAACTGGTTTCAGTCACAAGGAGCTGCATTGAAAGGACACAAGGACACCCCTCTGGGGGGTCCCAGGCCCTGGAATGAGGCCAACACCCTCAGAACAGGCAAGGTGCACACACACCCTGCCCTGAGTCCCGCCCGCACTGCCCTGACTGTGCCTCTCCCCCGAGCAAAGAGGCCAGGAGGTCAGGTGGCTGTGCCCGTCTGGGACCGGCACCCTCCACTGCAGACAGTCTTTCAGCTACTTGAGATTTGGAATTCCTTGTCCAAATGAACCGGAGTCCACCTTGGGGGCCCATACAGGCCTCTTTTCCTGAGGCCACTGTGTGTGCAGGTCACAGATGTAAAGGGACCTGCGCATGGCGCAGTTGCCACCTGCGCATGTTCCTCTGGTGCAGGGTGCAGCTGGGGGAGACGTGTGCAGGCCACAGGCTTGGGGTGGGGGGTAGACCCTGGAGGGCTCGGGCCAGACCCTCCTGCACTGTTGCGTTCTGCAAAGGGACTCCGAAGAGTCTGAGAATTCTGCATCATGCTGACTTTTCAGGTCCTTACAAAGGCGTACGCATTAAGGGAGGAGGGTAGGCCATGACTCGGTTAGCAGTTGCGAACTCGATTTACACAGGAACGCACGGACGAAACTGCTGTCGCCGGTACTGCCGCCCAGGCACTGGTTCGGCCTCTTGGTACCTGAGCAAGATACACCCCCTGGAAAACCTGGCTTGGCTGCCTCTGACTCCATTTCTGGGGATCCTGTTAACCAGAATCCAATGCCAGAAGTCTTGTCGAGTCACACTTCCTGGATCTGAATCCATCTGGCCCCGTTTTTCTCTTAGAAACGGGACTCGCAGCTCGGCTCCTCCCTGGGAGTTCCGTGCGAAGGCTTCCTCAGCCTCCTGCCCAGGACGGGCGACAGAAGAGTTCTGAGCAGAGTTAACCTGTCCTCAATCCCAGGCTGCACCTCCGTGCGTTGTGGTTTCCAGTAGGTGAGGGCTGGACACCTCACACAGGCCTGTGGGGGGAGGGCACAGCAGGGAGGCGGAGAAGGGGCTGAGAAAGGAGGCTCGTACTCCTGTCTCGAGGTGCTCTCAAGCCCCAGCACATTCCACCGTGTTTCAAATTCCCTGGCTTTGCCTAGGGAAACCCTTAGCAAAGGGAAACCCGCTTACGCTTCACAGAGTCTGCTACTGCCTGACCCCCAGAAGTCTGGAGATCTGGCACTGGGTTGAGATCCTCTGGATTCACAAAACACCTCCAGTCACCTCATTTTGGATTTGAAGGCCTATGATAAATAACACTCTTACCTATCAAGTTCTGTATTTCTACACTGCCAGGTACATTGCAGTGGCAACTGGCAGAAACTCAGCCAAATTCGGTTGAGATGGTTAATTAAAGGGGACACATTAGGTGGGCGGAAGGTGGGTCACAGCACGAGAAGAGGAGCCGTTGGAGTCAGGGCAGCTCGAGAGCCTTGGGTGCCGGAGACCGGGTCCCAGCAGGATGCTCTGCCGGTCTCCCGTGTCTGCGGCAGGTCTTCTCCGCACAGACGCACACCCATTCGGCCCGGAGGAGAGAGCAGAGAAACAAGCTCCGGCCACAGAAATGCTGGGAAGGCACTCCAGCGTCCGGGCTCGGCTGGCGCGCACCAGTGACCCCAGCACTGTGCCCTGGGGTGGACGGGGCCTGAGCAGCAGGCCAGGGCTGCCTGCCTGTGTCAGGCACCCCTTGAGCACAAATGCCACTCCTCTGGTCCCCACCCCTGGTTCCAGTCACTGCGGCAGCACTCGGTCCTCAGGCTATTTCCCCCAGCCTGGCAGACAGAGCCCCAGCGAACCAATGGATAAAGGCTCCCCACTCCCATCTGCAGATACGACACCTCGGCCCCCACAGCGGGGTGCCCATCTTGATAACACACCCTTGGGTCGGCCTCCCCTTTTTACCTTATTACTCCCCTGGCTCCTCATTCCTCTTCCGTGGGATCATTATCCAGATAACCTACCTGCGTGTCGGGCATTGCCACCAGCTATGCTTTCTGTGGGGCCTGCCTAAGGTAAAGCTCTATTCTCTCTTGCCAGGGGCTTCCTCACCAAAACTGTGTGGACTGAGTAGTGGGGACCTCTTCTTCCCAGAAGTAGAAGGAGGAGAAATGAAGGCAGACAAAGATAGCACAAACACTACAGAGCAAGCAGGAAGAGAGAAAGCATTTTTAACTGTAAACTGTTTTCCATCTCAATGGTATCGACTGTTTTTTTCTTACAAATGCTGGCTGCAAATACTTCAATTAAAACCATACCAACTCCTTTCCCCCTTCCTGTGGAAGAGAGAACTAGCATTTGGACAAAGGCCGTGTGCTCTCCTGTGCACACAGATATACCTCAGTGCCCAGCACCCCCTACAGTGAGATGTGGCCTTGTGACTCGTTTGCGGCCAATGGAATGCAGGCAGAAGTGGCCCGTGATCATGTCAGCCCTGGTCCCGGCCCCGTGAGAACTCCTCCTGGTTCCTTGCATCTGCCTGACTGATCTGACAACCTCTGATCCGCTCTGGCAGCCACACGCTAAGGACGGAGAAGTGGCAGACAACCCGGGGCCCTGAAAAGTGACTACAGAAAGCAAAGCTGCAACCCTTGGTGTCTTGGAAACACCTCTGAGTGTCAGATGACAGAAATGAAATTCTATTCTGATGAACCATTGCATGACAACATCTCTACGTTACTGCAGCTCAGCCCAACCTAACTAACATGCCTCCTTTTCTTCTCTCTTTCTCTTCTTTGTTCCTTCCCTCCCTCCCCCTTTCTCCTTTCCCTCCCTCCCTTCTTTCCTTCCATCCATACTACTTGCATTCCAAGATCCTTGTTGCAGTTCATGGACTTATAGCTCTGGGGATCACACATTCTTATTTTCCCACATCGAACATTTAAATATTATAATATATAGTTAATTGGCATCATGTGCCCTTTAGATGTTATAATTGAATGTTCTAATCAATAAATAACACTAATATTTTCAATAAATTAACACCTGACACCCTAGAGTTCCTGCAAAATAGCTCAAAATGTTATTCTAGTTATAAAAAGAGAAACCTTAAAACAAAGACAGCAAGGTCATCTACAAGCTGAAGGCACCTGAAAACTATTTTGTGCGGTCACGTGTTTCTCTGCTTCGCGCCTCCCAGCGCAGCAGAGGTGCAACAAGGAGATCAGAACCGGACGGCAGAGACACCCAGGCACTTGTGCAGGGGGCGCGACCGGAAGTGCTGGGCGCGGGGTGCTGTGCAATGACAAAACAGGGGAAGCCAACGGAACGTCCGTCAGCTGGAGGACGAACGAACTGGGGTACACTCATACAGGGGAAAGCGATTCAGGAGTTTTAAAAATGAATAAATGGCCACACACATGCCCTTCGATATCTCTCAGAAACATAACTTTGAAAGGGGGGGAATAAACAAGTTGCAAAAGGATATATGCCACTTTATATAAAATGTAAAAATGCACACTGATATATAGTATTTGTAAACACATTTGTATGTGGTACAGATATAAAAAAGATGCATAGGAATGAAAACAGTCTCAGAGCAATAATTTCAGGAAAGGCAATTTCCGAGTGAGGAAGTGGGGACAGGATTGTGGGGGCACACTGGGTGCTTCAAATACATCTGAGGTGTTTCTTAAAAAAAATAAGCAGGACAACAAACGTTTGACAAAAGTGGGTGGGAAGCACAGCATGCTCCTGATAACCATCTGTGTACTTTCCTATGCTGACCATGTTTCAAAGTTCACTAAATGTGGGGAGAAGGCCGGGCATGCACATCTTACAACCTTCGCAGAGGGAGATGGGAGTGTGTAGTCAGGCAGGGAGGAAGTATGGGAAATTCATCTCTGAAAGGACTGAGAAGTAACAGAATCCTGCATGTATCCTGACTCAGCCAAAGGAGCTCCAAGGCAGAGCAGAGGCAACTCTCTGACGAACGTCTGCCCAGCATTGCCCGCGGTGAACCGCTGCACCAGAATCCCTGCCTTCGCAGTGCGTGGTTCCTGGGGCCCCCCACTATCTGGGCTGCAGGAGGCCACCATACCTTGAAGTTATCATTAGCCATTATCCCTCCCGCATCACCCTGTGGGACTAGGACATAGTCGTGAAGCGTGGGGTGTGGGCAGAAGAGAAGCACGCGCGGGGTCTGGGAGTCCTGGTAGACCCGCCCGCTACAGGGGGGTCTGGGGTAAACATGATGCCACGGGAAAGCCTGGCCCCTGGTCCGGGCCCTGCTTGGTCCCCCAGGTGCAGAGCAATCCTGGGAAGCCGCTAATCCCCCCTGAGTCTCTTCTTTAGTAAAACGAGCCCTCCACTGCAGGTGGGCGGTGGGGGATTCAGGGAGATAACAGACACAAGGTGTGAAGGAATGAGTCGAGTTCCATCTGAATCCCACCGTGGGTTTTCTTTCTGGCCCACACTCTGGAGGGACAATGCAGACGCAGCGGGAAGAGGCCTGGGACAGAGGTCGGGCTCTCCAAGCGGCATCAGGGCAGGCGGAGCTCAAAGACAGGGAAGTGTGGTGGCGAGAGAAGGAAAGATGCAGAAGGAAAAGAAGGCACGTGTAGAATGCGTGGGACGGCCCACTTCCCCGGAGCAGCACACACAGGAGGGTTTTCCTGTTGCCTAGCTTCTCTACACGTGAGGGCTGTTTTTTCTCTGAGACACAAAAGTGGCACTCGGGAGTTTAGAAGCCCCTTTCCCCACCCCGATGGAAATCGTACAGAACAGTGACTGAGAACCCTTGTCCTCGTCCCACAGCACTGAGTTCAGCAACACGCCTGGACCAAACACAAGGGGGCCCGTGGAGGCCGAGGAGATGCCCCGTGTGCTGCACTGAAATGCACCCAGCAATAATGCGGTATAGTGTACAAGAGTGAGTTTGATGCTCTCAGGCAATGTTCTCAGCAGCCTGTGCTCGGGTCTGCTCAGGTCTGTTTAAGACTGAACCTGAGGGAGCAGGGCAGTTGGGCTTCCAGAAGGTTGTGGTCCTCATTCACTCCGACCCGGGATGATGCAGGATCTTAGGGTGCGGGAATGTGTCCTTCCGGCTGTCCCAGGAAATGTGCCATGCATCCTGGCAGCACTGCTTCCCTTAGGGATCCTTCAGAAAAGTGAACCCAGCTCGATTCACTGAGGCCACGCCTGGGGTTTCTGGGTCAGTCCAAGCCCTGCTCAAACACACTAAGTCCTCTGTGACGTTTCCTCCCAGAAAGCTGTTGAATGGATGCTTTTGGAGGAGAGAGAGAGAGAGAGAGAGAGAGAGAGGGAGGGAGGGAGGGAGGGAGAGAGAGAACATGGCCCTAAGAGGATAGGATGTGTTCATTATGCCTTTTTAAATTATCAGGACGAGCAAACTGGTGGATTAGAATATTCTAAGGTACTTATTCATCTTCTTTGGAAGCCTTTTACAAATCAGGAAACTCACAATGACAGGACCTCTGTGCTCTACTGTACTTGATGTTTCACCCTCAGGTGGGTAGCTAGAACACTGAAAATGCCCAAGAGGACATTGGAGTACATTCCTCATTTCCCAACAGGAAAAAAAGCAGTGGAATCTGAGATATATGACGATATAACACCGTTGGGTTGGTTTCTGACTGGCTGAATAACCAGAGCCAAGGACTGTCTGTCTTCATGCATACTGCAGGACTTTGCGGTAGGTCCGCTTTGCTCAGTGGTTTAATCAATTACTTGTACAACGGTAAAGAAAAAAAAAACTGTGCGCTTGTCAGAATTTCAAATGACCCAGGCCTTGAGAGAAAAGCTAATGTTCTTGGTGATGTGCTTACATTTCACGTGAATACAAAGCTTCGTGTCAAGTAAGGTCTCACTTTATACCCCAGAATGACAACCGTGAGGAAACCTATGGTCTTACATTAAAACAATTCAAGTGCAGGAGGACAGATATCATCCCATGGCATATGAAAGCTAGAATAAAATGTACATAGGACTATAGACTAATGATTCTGCTAAAATGTTCTCTGCTCAGAGGTCCAGGCTGGGGGCAGGGCCAAGCCTAGAACAGGGAGACTGGGACACTTCACTCTTGTCAGATGGAGGCTGGCTGATTTGCGTGACAGAGAAGTGACGTCTACTTTCCATTCTGAACTTGAATTAGATATCTCTACGAGGTTAATATCTAAATACACCTTCCCCACGGTCCTGATGTATTTTCAGCGCCTGCGTGTCCGGCGCCACTACGAGTGAGAGGCCAGCTGCTGGTTAGCTGGCTGTTCTCTTGCTACATACACTGTGCAGTGCGCTAGCTCTCAAGTTCCTCTGAGTCTCCAAGCACATAGTGGCAAAACCAGACAAAAGAAAAACCAGTATATTTTGCTTGTGGGGCATTACTATCACATAGGTCTCAGAAGAAACCTGTCAGTGTTGGTGAGTCTTGCTAATTACCCTGCAGACCCTGACACACTGACAGCGGCTTCGCGTTGCGCTGCCCGGCCTGACCTCTAAAAGCCGTCCAACTGCTACACCAAACACGCTCCGGAGCGCCAAGGAAAATAACCCATTGGCCTATTTCCTGTGCTCCATCGGGGCACAGCACATAAAAGGAGCCAAAAGTCCTCCACAGTGGGCTTGCAGTCTTAAGGAGATCATTATTTTCTATGCAGACAGTCCAATATTTTTTCCAGAACCAATTTTCTTGCTGACCACACTGAACATTGAGAAATCAGTGAGAGCCTTCTTGGGAAAAGCTGAACTGGAGGAGGAATTTGGCTTCGGAACACAGGAAGCGGGTTTCGGCGCTGAACCCGGCCAAGAGAGAGCGGCGTCCGGGGCCGCGCCGCTCAAGGTGGGTGAGCGGCCTCTGAGACGGCGACCGCGCCTCAGGATTATGGGAGCCAGCGCAAGACTCCTCCACTGCTCCTCACGCCGGGGCCAAGCTAGGACGATACCCACGGACGTGCCTGCCTTTTCAGGGAAGAGGGGATCACGTTGGGAAAGGCCCATTCAACACTTTTAAGAAACCTTCAGTACAAACATATTTCATCCATTAGGGTAATGTTTTCCTCAGCCTTGTCCAGGAATAAATCCCAACCTTCTCCCCTTAAGATCCCAAAGACACAGCTGATTTGTTTTCAGTTGGGGCAATGAAATGTTTAAATGGGAAACACATGTCCGTTTGGTCAGGGGAGGACAGGCTAGGAAGCTTCTTGTTTATGAGTGGGCACTCAGCAGCAATCTGACAGCCACAGAAAGACTAAACAAGCAACTAGCAATTAACTCCTAAATAACAGTCCTTCCTGGGAAGACAGTGAATTTAAATCCGTGTAGAATACTCATTACCTAATAGGGCGTTTAAAAGGCTCTTTATTTCAAAAAGGAGGAAGTTAAAAACCGCCCTTAGCCGTTTCTCCTCTCTTCGCTGGGACACAAAGAATCCGACCTGACTGCCCCCTCCAGGTGCTCACCACCCAGCACCGCCACCTGTCCTAGCTGGCTGTGCCGCACGGAAATCTCTTCCCAGCGCTCCTGCGACCTCTGTGCCCTCTTCCAATCCAGCATCCCGAGCTAAATAGGCTGAGACGCCAGGCAAATGGGAAGAAGAATATGATCTCCCGAGAGAATGAAAATGAACAGACGACACGGAGAGGGAGCTGAGTCAGAAGAACCGTGCGACGCGGAGGTCAAGGCGGGCCTGCGGGACCAGGACAGGAGCGCGCAGGGGAGGCCGCCGCCTCACCGGCGCTGCCGGCTGCGTTCCCAGGCCGAGCGCGTGCTCGTGGCCTGTGCGCTGCTGCGAGTGAGTCATTCTTGTAGATAAAATCAATAATAGCAACTCTCGTCACATGGAGTCATACAAACTGGTCACTCTATGACCGGGGTTTCTAAAAATAACAGACTCGGGGAGCAAAATAAGCCTTCAAATTGATAATAATGACACGTGATTTCTGTGTATTGCTGTTAACCTTGTTAGAAGATCTAAATAAATATTATCCAATTACGTGTTTTCTGGTATTGTCCAGTGTTGGGATATTTGCCATAGGCTACAGTTCTTTTTAGTACAACCAAACTTAATATCTATTACTTGTTAATAGTAAACATTAATATACCCAATTAGGTTTTGTGGTATTTTCCAGTTGAAATATTTGCCACAGGCTTTCCTTTTAGTAGTATCAAACTTAATATCTATTATTTTAATAATAAATTCATAATTGACAATAGATATATTTATTAAATACTTTTTAGGCATCCATAATGAGTAAAGGGCAAAAATAATGTTGAAAATACTTTAAGAATAACATGACTTTGGGAATTCCCAAGATTTCCCAGGAATCCTGATTGCTTGTTTCTAGTTCCCTAAGATGAATACCTGCAGGAATCCGGAGCACTAGTTCTGGGTGAGCTTAATAGAAACATCATTCTAGGATGATTAATGGGCCCTCGTGTTCAGCGTCCTAGCAAAGAATGGTGAAAATGTTTTGAACTTGGGAACGAGAAGAGCTAGGTATAAGCCTCCCTTCTAAGACTTGCCTTGCCCTGTAGGTGCTCTTGGGAGAGCCACTTGGCCATGTGAATATACTAATACTTTACTGGATTGTCGATCAAATCAAGTACAGTCGGGAGTTTCACTTTGTATCATTTAGATATTCAAGAGTGGCATAAATGCAGGCAATTACCTCAAAGAGCCTTTGCTAAATTTCACGTGTACGTATATAAAGCTGCAGTGGAGGGCTTACTGGGATGTGGGTGGCAAGGGCTTTGTGGCCAGTTTCGAGTCTTCTGCTCCTTGCCAAGTGTCTTCTCTGTCTGCAGGACAGAGCGAGGAAAGGGGGCGGTGCACGGTTGACGGACTCGGAGGTCCTGCAGACTTCCGGTGACTGCCTCCGAGATTCAGTGGCCTTTCCTTTTCAATCTTAAAGAAATCCTACCAGCCTAATGGCAAACACAGAAAAAGGGATCAGCCGGAACAGAAGAGCAAAGGTCAGGGGTGGCCCACGAATGCCTCGCCAGCGCTGAGCGCCCCTGGGCCACGGTGAGCACCCGGTTTTCCCCACTGTTCCCAAACTTCAGGGCTCCCAGCACCACATTACACTTCCTGCAGCATCTGCATACCATTTGTACTCTTGTTTCCTTACTACTTTTCTTTAACTCAGGCCATTTCTTAACTTAGCCCTGTCCCAAACAATAATAAACATGAAATTATTGACTGATGTGCAGATTCTATTTCCCTGGAGCACATCTGCATAACCACTACACAGATCATAACACACTGGTACGTAACCACGACACTAAACAAATGCGCCATCTGAAGTCGCCTCGACTCCTGCCAGACCACCCTTTGGGAAAGACTCCCAAAGATCGTGTCCACCGAGTCTACCGACAAAGCCCAAAGGAAAGGTATCTTGTCTTCACGGCGTGGAGGGAACAGACCCGGGCAGTTGGACACACCGGGGATACCCCCCGACCGCCTCTCAGCAACGCCCCCAGCTTGGTTTAACGCTCTACTATCACCTTGATAATTTTTAATAATTTTTGGACAGAAGCCCCATGTTTTCATTTTGCACCAGGTGCTGCAAATTATCCATCCTGTCCTGAAGGGGAAAAGGCACATAATAGGGTTGGCATCTGGACAGGGTGCTGTTGTCACCCTGAAGTTTGTTTTTCATTAACCACTTTTTGCAGTGAGTTGTTAAGCAGTTATTATTAGCAAAACCACCACCCCAAAACTATGTAAGACATTCATGGAAGAGAAAAACATGTTAGACGTTTATCTTTTCTTGGAGCTGGTAGCCAGGTTGGAGAGTTAAGACGATGTTCATTCATCCTTTCAGTGTTCCATCATTAAGAACTACCCCGTACGGCATGGGTAATAATTGTAACAGCAGTTTAGAGAAGAAAGGCATCTCTGAGGCAGGAGCAACTGCAGAGAGCATGAAGGGGAAAGATTTGAGCCAGCAATGTCTTGTTTTAGAAACATTTATGCTAAGTCTGTCCTGTAAAACCCCTTACAGGTTAGTCCCGACACCTCTCCCCAGCCTCTTCATTAACAAGTTTCCCCCAGTACAAACCTGTCCCTAAAATTTACAAAATACAGGTCAAGAGTATCAGTGGAGGCTGACATACAGTGTATTTACATAGTTAAAAGTTATGAAGCAAGGTAACAACGTGTCAAATAAGACATGTGACATAATCTTACACTGACTATCCTACCTTTAGAACCACCTGCAAGGCTAGGTTCTAATTTCGCTTTCCTGAACCCCTGGGAATTCCACTCTTGCTCATGGTGGATTGGGGATGGCCAGCTCCACCCCTTCCCTTTCCATACCCAGCTCCAGCCAGTGTGTGAGAGCCTCAGACATACCACGTGGTGCATGGACTCCAGCTCACACATTAAAGCTCGCTCACCACTCTTAACTCTGCGTAGGTGAAGCTCACAGCCGTAGCACAATCTAGCTTTGGAAGATGGATTTCAGGGAAAGAAAAGTGCAGGACCTCAAGCATCATTTGGGGGCTGTTTGGGCAGGGCATTCTGGATCCTAGGAAACCAGACTGCGGTCTGCAAAGGGAAGGAGTGGCACGGGGGTAGGGGTGAGGGGCTCTGGGTGAGCATGTCCTCCTGCCTGTGGACCTCCTGTTTCATGGAAGGTGTGTAGTTGGAAGGGGCTGAAGCCTGGACCTGTAACACCCAGGCCTTCAAGCAGGTGTACCACCCCATGCTCACCACCTCCTCCGTCTCCCTTTCCTAGAAGGTGTTTTTAAGTCTCTGTCTCTCTGTTCATCACTGTCCCACTTTCCTCCTCACCTGGAACACACCCCCCTCCTCTGTTTAGCATCGCATGACCCTGTTCAAATATCACCCATCTTTGAAGATCTGCAAGCTCTCTTAGGCACAACTAGCTCGTTTCTGCTTTGCATTCCTGTGGCGTTTTGTTTATGCCTCTGTGACAGCCGTTACTGCCTTGTATTGGGATCACTGTCTTCCTCCCCTGGCCTGGGAGCGCTTTGTGCACGCTTGATCTCTTGTACCAACAGAGTGACTGGTGACATGGGCACTCCCTCCTACAAACATGACTACTGAGGAATGAATGAATGAGATGCACTCTCATGGCCCGTGCCGTGCCACGTAAATGTTTATTCATCTCAGAGCACTGCCGGTCTCCAAGAGTGGACGTCGGCATCTACGGGGCGCCATCCTGGTGAAAACTGGAAACACTCAGTCATCCAGATGTTCAGTGTCACGTGGCCGAAACCCCAGATGACTGACTGAATGTTTCAGCTTTCATTGGAATGATTGGCGTTGTGCGTATATGGCCTTGTGTTATCAGCCCTCGGACCCCCACCACAGTGGGCTCAAAAAGTGCTTCTTGCAGACCCAAATGCTCAGCGGAGCTGCTAATGGGACGCAGCGTCCTTCCTCATGTGCTGCTCCTGGGAAAGCTGACAAGTTCAGTGCCAAAGGTGACTTCAGTGCATCAGTCTTCATTGTCATTAGCAACTAGCATTTATTAGGCACTCACATGTGCAAAGCACATTTTCAAATGAAAGACATCATGATGAACGTTAGCGGACGAGAGTTTTCTTTTAAGCCATGGAATCAACTTGCCTGCCGCCTATGAAGCTATTTTTTTTTTCCATGAGAATTCTGCCTAAAGGAAGTTCAAAGCATGTACGACATTTCGATTATTAAAATCTCACTCATTTCATGGAAGTCTGTTTCCCTAATTTCCCACCCCCTGTTATGTCTTTGTCTTTGATCCCAAACTCTATTTATTGAATGTGCATTTGTTCATTATTTGAAATATTGTGAGTTTGTTTGTAACAGTCTGCCTGTTAGCACAGTATGGCTGAAGGACACTGACAGTCGGAAGCCCCGGTTCCACCTTCTCGCTGTCACTTGGTGAACTGAGAAAAAGCATGCAGCCTCTCAGCAGCTCAGTTTCCTGATTTGCAACTAGCAACACCTTCCTTACAGAGTTGCTGGAAGAATGCATGAGACACCCTTGGAAAAACACAGTACGTAAAACCAGAGACTAGGGCTCATCATTGTTCACGTTGGTGCCAGGGACCAGCTCTCTTCACAAATAAGTGGAGATGGTACCCGAGCAATTGTCCTCTGGGTGTCCAGATGTATCAGCAAAATGATGTGTCCATAAAGCTTAAAACGCAGTGATGATTGTGGTGGGTAGGAAACAGGGGTTGGCTTTTGAACACAGATGGGAAATTCAAGGCCTGAAATTTTCCAGAGGTTTCCAAGGAGATGCCGGGACTTTTGATGCAAATTCAAAAACTCAGGGTTCTCCTTTTACTGGACCCTCCCCAGTGGTTGTCCTGCTGTGTGGGGTTATCAAGTGAGACCTCACTTCTCATGTGCTGTTACGGGGCTCCAACAAGGGAAGAGCTGAGAGCATCCCGAAAGCAGCTTGGCCATGTGTCCGCATGGTACTACCCAGCCTGGCCACAGGGGGGGCGCTCTGCCATGGCCGTGGGCCAGGCATTGCCATCCCGTGGGGTGCTGTGATAAAAGGCCAATAAGTACAGAACTGTCCCCTTTCCTTGAAGCAGTGACATAGGCAAATGTGCCCCAGTGGCCTTGTCTAACACACACGTTGGGTCAGCCATTTCCCTCAGCGTTTAGGGAAAGCGGAGAACCTGGAGATTTTAGAGGCCCTGGATTGAGGGAGAAAATACGCACCTACGGAGAACTGATACTCTCAGAAAAGATACCCCTCAGACTGGAACCAGGCCGGGGAGGCCCAGATGGCCGAAAGAAGCAACGTTTGGGCTGCACAACAATACCAC